AACTTAAAATTTTCAGATATGTTACAACAGGCAGAATTATTGAATTAAACTAAACTAGAAGGAGTTAACCCAGAAGCTCAGAGAGTTCTAGAAAAAGGGACCCCTAATAATAAAAGGAAAAGAAAGATTTCCCCAACAGTTATGATTAAGTTTAGTCCAGCTTACATTATAGGGAATAGATGGTGGTTTCCCAAAAAAATATAAAGTTAGTGATATCACATTTCCTGAACCGACCGATGAACCATTGCCTTATACAGGAGCTTATAAAGATGAAAACAGACGGATTAATGTAAAAGGAAAATTGGAATTCATTAGATTTTATACAAAAATTAGGTAGATCTAGACCATTACAGTGTTTATTATTAAAACCACAATAATATAGTTTAAAATAACAATTAGAAATTTATGTGAACAAATATTTGGATTAAAAATAAAGGAAACGGAGAATGCCTGACTCAACCTGGAAGTGGTTTTTTGGATGGTTTCAAAGGGACTTAAAAATATATGGAAAAAATAAAAAGAGTACAATATAAGTACAGCCCTGTCTTAGGTTTGTTAATTATTAAACGTAAAAAGGCTGAATAGATGACGCATTCTATTAAACTATATGCTAGACTTGTTTCGCACCACTTAGTTTAAACAGTTGATGGGATAGTCATCAATTTTCATGTAATCCACCAATGTTTTGCTTTTCTTTTCTTTTTTTGGGGCGGGGGGTCCGGTTGTGGGGCCTGAACTCTGAGCCTGCGCGCTGTTGTCCCTCAGCTCTTCAGCCCAAGGCTCTACCACTTGAGCCAGTGCCACTTCCGGCTTTTTTCTTTTTGCTTATATGGTGCTGAGGAATCGAACCCAGGGCCTCAGGCTTGCAAGGCAAGCGCTCTACCACTGAGCCAACTTCCCAGCCCTGCTTTGCTTTTCTTAAAAATTGATTACATGCTTAAATAAAGAATCTATGTCACAATCACACAATGTATAAAAATGTTAATTCTCCTCAATAAAGATACAGTCAGATGCAACTCTTTTGAGTCTGTGTCTGTTTGTCACTTCAACATTTCTTTGTCCACCTATCCCCAGATCCCTGTCCCGTGGGTCCCAGTGCTGCAGCTGAGCTGGTCCGCCGCAGGCGTGAGCCACCAGCACCTGGCAGACTTTGACACTTCTAACTTGCCCAATAAAGTTCCCTTCTTTCAGTATCATCCATTTCTAATTCATTCTCCAAAATACAGGAAGAATGCTTTTACAAAACTCAAATCTAATCATATTATCTTTCAACTTAAAATATACTTCAATACCTTGAACCCCTAAAGTTTCTCTCTGATGAAGTCCAAACTCCGTAACATGGTACAATAACTCTCCAGCCTTCTTCTCCGACTCCATCAATCATAAGCCTTTGAGAACTTAGCTTAGCCAGGCTCCTGAAGATTTTCTCTCCTGCCCCACCCCCACTTCACCTTCTCCTTATCTTCCTTTACAGCTTCCATTGTAGTATTGCAGTGCCCACTGCAGTCTAGTTCCCCCGTTAGAGGGCATAAAAACACAGCTGTGTCTTTTTTTTTAATCATTATAACCTGATAACTTAGTACACATATTCATATATAATAGACTTTTTTAATGATTATGGAATATCAACTCTATCACTTTTATGAGACTAAATTTAGAAAGCCAATATTATTTTTCTAGCTGAATATAAAAAGGCAAGAAAGACTAGTTTGTTTAACCAACTTGTTGTTGGTATCTGTTAGAGAAGGGAAGATTTCATTGTTGAGTGAAATTTCATGAACTCAGATCCTTGTGCTTGACAGATGCTCTTCAACTTGATCCATGCCTGTAGTGTGTTTTGCTTTCATTATTTTTCACACAGGATCTTGCTCCATCCCCCTCTCTCACCCTCCCAGGCCCAGACTATGATCCTTCTATTTATGCTTCTTGTATAGCTGGGATGACAGACACATACCACCATGACTAGCTTGTAGGATGAAATGGAGGTCTCATGGACTTTTTTTGCCTTCAAATTATGATTCATTTGATCTCAGCCTGCTAAGTAGCTAGAATTGCAGATGTGAGCCAGAGCCCAGATTGAAATTGTAATTCTTTAAGTTCGATTCCTAATCTTCCAAAAATTAGAAGGAATTTAAAAAGCACAGCTCTGTGCTTGAATCCCATTCTGTTTTACCATAGGGTCAGGGATTATATAAACAATAGCAATAGAAATAAAAATAAAAATATAATGTAGGCTTGGTGTGTTGTTCAATGGTAGATTAATTACCTTAGCAAAGCTCTGGGCTCAGTTATAGACACTGCATAGAATATTTGATTGGAAAGTAGGTAGGTAGATACATAGATAGGTAAATAGAACATCTAAAAATAACAACTTGAAAACAAATTTTTGTGGTTTACTTTCCTGGATTCTAAAAGAATTGTAATTTTAAATAAAATTTTGTCAAATGAAGAAAGGAAAATGAAGAAATTTAAAACTGCCTGTTATCCTAGCTATTCAGGAGGTTAAGATATGAGGATCACTGTTCAAAGCCAGCCCAACCAGAAAAGCCCCCATGAGACTCTTATCTCCAATTAACCACTCAAAAACTGGAAATGGAGCTGTGGCTCTAAGTGGCAAAGCACTGGCCTTGAGCAAAAGAGCTCAGGGACAGTACAGGCCCTGAGTTCAAGCCCCATGACTGACAAAAATAAATATTAAATACACACACACACACAGTCCTATATTAGAAGCATTTCCTAAAGACTATGACCCAGACCTCTCCTACTTCATTTTTTCCAAGCAGTCTTGCTTCTCAGCCGCCCCAGCACCCTGCCTGCACTGTCTTCTCCCCAGAACATGCTTCTTTTAACTGCTGCAGGGAAACAAATTATTTTGACCTAAATAATGATTGATTATACTTCCATATCCTTCCTACTTTCTAACACCAAAGTCTGGCAGCATGAAATTGTACTTGCCTAATATATAATTAAAGTTGTTTATGTTATTATGAGGGTAAGAAGCTTATTAACAACTGTTCATGGTTTGTATAGTGAGTCTCAAATTGGCCATATCCTAGGAGAGCAGGACTAATCATTTGTTCAGTGTTTTTCTTCACTTGTAAGGAGTGTACTGTTCACCTGCCTCTGAGCCTAGAAACCCTTCTACTTTTCCCTCACAAGATGATTTATGTACATATGCTCCTTATCTTTATGGGAGGAGAATGTGAGATTTTTTGGAGCCTGGTAATTTCAACCTGTCTGGATAGCCTACCTTGTTCTGTATTCTGGCTGCTGTAGGTTAGCCCTGGTCTTGCTCACACTGGGAGCCTCAGGCTGTGGTTTTCAAACCGGGGGTTCATTAGCATAAAGTATCACCTGGAGACTTGTTAAAGATGCAAGTCCAAGCTCCACCCCAGGCATGCTGAATCATTAACTCTGGAAGTGGAGTCTAGCAATCTGTGTTGATAAGTTGTCCAGGTAATTATGATGCTGAAGTTCCTCAACCTCTTCTTCAGAGATGGGAGTGCTCTTGCCCCTGAGTTCCAGCCCCTTGATACTCTCAGACTTCCTTAAAACAACCAGCCTGCCTGCATGTTTTCATATTGGGCAATAGTAAGTCTTTGTTGCTTGCACCCTGTTAGCCCACACAGGATCTCACACTGACCTTCTTAATGCTGGCTGTTTTCTCTGACCTACATCTGTCATCATAGCCTGTGGTGTTTCTAATTACTGTAGCTTACTTGGCTGGGTTTTATCTGAACAGCTGCAACGAAGTCTTAACATCTGCATGCTGCCTCCAGCAACTTTTCTCATCCAAAGTTGTAGCCCCTTTGGGTCCTTCTTGGTTCATCTTAACATTCCCAGCATACAAGGTAGATGTGGGGCAGTCCTCAAATTCTAACTAAAGTCAAAACCTCAAATGACAAGCAAAACACAAATGACTTGGATGGTTTAGAATTCATGAAAAGAGAAAAGATAAGAAGAGATTTCACAATATATCCAGATATATTCTCTAATTAAAAAAAACACAATGAAAGTATTACCTACTCAAAAGTAAAGGTGCTTTGTTTTTAATATAAAAGTATGTATTAAACTGGGTGCTGGTGGCTCACACTTGTGATCTTACTACTCCTACTCGGGAGGCTGAGATCTGAGGATTGCGGTTTGCAGCCATCCAGGGCAGGAAAGTCCTTGAGGCCTTTTTGTTTTGTTTTGTTTTGTTGGTCATGGGGCTTGAACTCTGGGCCTGGGCACTGTCCCTCACCTCTTCAGCTCAAGGCTAGCGCTCTACCACTTGAACTACAGTACCACTTCCGGTTTTTTCTGTGTATGTGGTGCTAAGGATTCAAACTCAGGGCCTCATGCATGCAAAGCAAGTGCTCTATCACTGAGCCACCTTCCCAGCCCCCTTGAGACTCTTATCTCCAATTAACCACCTAAAAACCAGAAGTATAATTGTAGCTCCAAGTGGTCAAGCGCTAGCCTTGAGTAAAAAAGATTAGGGACAAGGCCTTAGCCCTGAGTTCAAGCCCCATGACTGACAAAAATAAAAGTGTTAAGAGCTGGACACCTGTGGCTCTCGCCTATAATTTTTACTTATGAGGCTGAGATCTAAGGATCAAGGTGTTTTTTTTTTCTTTAGGTCTAAGACTACGTACCTAGGGGTACCTGCCACTTTCGTTTTTTAGCTAGCTCCATACTCCCAAGATTGAGGTTCAAAACCAGCCCCAGCTGGAAAGTCCATGAAGACTCTTACCTCCAATTAACTACCAAAAATCAGGAAGCTGTGACACAAGTGGCAGAGCACTAGCCTTGAGCAAAAAAGCTCAGGGACAGCACCCAGGCCCTAAGTATATAGGAACTTCCTGGAGGAAATGAGTAGTGATCTTCCTTCATCTATAATAGAGCAGAAAGATAAGAAAGAGAAAGTAACCCAACAAATGCCAGACAGATGTGGAGGGAAAAGCCTGCCTCACCAGTGTCCTCTTACTAAATCATGCTGTTTTTGACAACTTGTTTAGCTTATGGAATTCCACTGAAAGATCGAGGTGAGAAAACGGATGAAGAAGCAGAAGGTCCATATTCAGATGATGAGATGTTGACACACAAAGGGCTGCGAAGATCCCAAAGCATGAAATCAGTGAAAACGGTCAAAGGCCGCAAGGAGGTCAGTCACGTGTGCATCCTTTTTCCTGATTAGTATTCCCAGGATTTCCCTGCTGCATTATCATTAGGGGTGGAATGGGAGAGCTGTCAGTAACATATCCTTATTGTTCTTAGTTTGGATCCGAGGTATCAGGATGTCTGGAAATGTTTTTTTCTCTGGGATTTGAAAATGGCAACTCCTATGTGGGCACTGTCATGAGTACCCAGTGCTAGTTCTGTGAATAAATAAGGAAAGCTGCTGAAGAAGTACACAGTTTTGCCTTCAACCATTTCTATATGATGATTGGTAGAAGTTTTACCCAAAATGATAAATGATCTTTACACCCAGAAAGCATGAAGGATCAGTGTTCATTGTTACTGTACTAAGCAAAACAAATAATAAGACAATGTTTTGTTATCAGCGATAATCTGTGTATATCCAGTATCACCATACTGACTACATTTTTATGAGTATATGAAAGTACTGCTGTTTTATAAACACTTAAATTGAAATATAGAGAACTGATTCTATGTGTCTGGAAAGTTAAAAAGTTAATATGGTTATATACTGTTACGACCTATCTAAGTTTAAAAAGTACTCAGTGTGTTTAATAATACATTTTTCTCTTCAGGTACGGTACGGTTCCCTAAAATACAAAGTGAAGAAGAGACCACAAGTGTATTTTTAGTCATCTACACTTCAGATATCCTAAGATAAATAATGCTAATAAGTCACTTTGGGCTGGGAGGTGGAGCTCATTTTCTATCATGATATATTTAGGATTTACACGTTAATTCTTTGGCTTGTAGCAATGATAGTATTTACTATGGTGGATTTAAATAGTTTTTGCTTAACGATTTTAGATACTGACTACTCAAGGTAGTTATGCAAGGTTTATTAATGTAAAGATCAGATCATGGAAAATCATGTTAGCTGTTTTCAATGGCAGCATGAAGTGCCTGGGACTCAAGATTACACAAAAATCCAGAGTATACTTGAAGAGTCTCTTTATGGTACAAGATAACCATTGTTGTGTTTCATTGTGTTTACCTCCATCTGTGTTATCTCTATCACATGCGGATTGTAATGAAATGGGCGGGGCTGTGATAGACAAAGGACATAATGTAAGATCATAAAGTACTTTTTATATATTCTTTAAATTTTTACCTTTCTAATACTTAACATTAACTGAAAACTCTTAAATATTTGAAAACCAGGTATCTATCTAGCACTTTCCTGACTAGTTTTGCACATTTGAGAACTGTTTACTTATCTGACAACTGTACATTGAGTTTAAATTGTAGTGTCACTGTTTTATCATTGTTTGTCATTCTCTGACATGTCAAATTTATGCCTTAAAATGCATCATCTCCTTTTTTCTATGGGTTTTATTTTTTAAATTTGTGGGAGTTGTAATATAAAAATTTGCCTAATTGTTCAGTTTTTAATTATCTCTGTACAAGTAAAAAGTTATTTTAAACACTAGCCAGTTTTTCATATTTAGATGCAAAATGCAGTTGAAGTAAGCCTGTCAGCACCAATTACATTTTTCAGTCCTAAAAATGGTCGCTTTTATGAAATAAAGTAAGAGACCAGTGTGGCACATAGATACCTCCTATTCCATAAAATTATCCAGTAGTCAGTTTGGCATCAATGGCTTACACCTATAATCCTAGCTATTCAAGAGGCTGACGTCTGTGGACTTTTCTGGCTAGACAGAAAAGTCCTCACGACTGTATTTCTAAACAACCAGCAAAAAGTCAGAACTGAAGCAAGTAAAGGTATGGCTGAGGTGGTATGGTGCTATTTGTGAATGGAAAAAGCCATACAAGATCCACAGTTCAAGTCCCATTCAGTTCCAGCACTAGATATACACCTCCAATAATCAGTTTATTCACAAGCTTGCAGTAGACACATGCTGCTGGTTTATAAATCTGGTAGACTAAAATCGTTTGAGTTTTTTTTGGCCAAAACAATTTCTGAAGATGAGTAGTACTAGTGTAAAATACAGATATCATTAATCCTACACATCACAAGCTATTTGAAAAATTAGCATTTTGTAATCTAATCAATTTGGAGATATTTTTGAGGTTGTACCTCAAAATCAGCATATCTTTGGTAATGGTTTTGATGTTCAATAATCAAATCTGTATTTATTATACTATCCATTGTACTTGCTTGCCCTAAAGAAACATAAGAGAGATTGTGAGATCTTCAACCTTCCTACCTTTCAAGAAGAAAAGCCAGCCGGCAATGTATATCCAGGGACTCAAGTTTTGACTGGCTACGGAGTATTCATTCAGGAGTATCTAGGGATCATTCATCCATTGCCTGTTGACTACTGTCGGGATATTCTAGACTATCTCTTGATGCATACCAACAAGGGAAAATTCATTCCTTTTTTTTCTTATAAAATTTAATTCTATCAATATCTCCATCTACCACAACTAATTTTTAGCCTCTTCATTTCTAGAAGGACTCTTTCAAACTTAATTAGAAGCTCTTGGGAGATGGCATTATTAACTTTGCGTAGTACTGGTCTTGTCAATATAAGTGCTAAATCATGCTTGTGTTTACTACACAGGCAATTGCATCTCAGATTGCCTAATAAGGTCATGTAAGTGACTTTTTACTGAGAATATTACTTGTGAAGGGCTGATTGGTACCATTTTAGTCTTTTCAACTCTAGTCTCAGTTATTGGTTCTGGGGATGAGCTAAGGTGATGGAGAGCATGCTTAGCATGCACCAACCTTGCATTGTCCTGTAATAAACTCATGTTCATATACTATCTTTAAATTTGAAACATTTTTTATCTTCTAGAAGCACACTCATTTATCAAAGACAGTAAAATCTGAGAGACAGGGTGCATTTCCTTCTGTGACATTGTTCTCCTCCACATTCACCAGTCTGTCTCTTCTAAATTTCAGGTATTAACACCTTACACACAGTTACTACCATTTTCTTCCTCTCATTTTACATTTCTTAAATTTGATTCTGTCCTTACAGTGTGTTTCAGCATGACTTTATTTGAAAATAAGCTTATATGTTGTTGCTTTCTTTATGTCTTAAAAGAAACAGATTCTTTTTGTTGTTTGTTTCTCTGCTTTTAAGTCTACTGATTTTTAAGAGATGTAAATTTATTCATCCATCCCAGCGCCTTGCTCTTCCCCCCCCCCCCCCCCCCCCCCCCCCCCCCCCCCCGCTGCTACTTGGGGCATGGCCATTAGATGCACAAGCCCATTTAGGGCACTGTTTTGATAACTGTTGGAACTGATCCAGAAATTATAGCCTACTAGTATTTTACTATACATCCATTCAACTTATTTACTAATACTTAACCATCTCCTAGATTTGTTTAGGCATAAGAATTGATCTTTTCTTTAAAATATCATCTTTTTATGGTATAAAAAAGATCCAGAAATAAGCCTGTTTCTAAGTAATTATGTAAACCTACCTAGATTGTACCTGATTCCCTCCTCACACTTCCCTCTATCTGTATTTGGCTACAAATGATACTGCCGCATTATTAATTATAAATACTTGACTACACTGATTGATTGAACAAAATTATTGAAGTATTTCAGGGATCTTATTCCATGTCACCACCAAAGATTTCTACAGTGTTATAAAGTATGTAAATATTCCAACTTTCTATAAATGTGTTTTCTTTATTTACTTTTTAGAATAACAGTATATACTTTTGGGAGAATGCTTGAACTTCTGTATTGTTAAAAAAAAAAAAAAAGCATAATACTGCCAGGTGCTCATGCCTGTAATCCTAGCTATTCAGGAGACTGAGATCTAAGGGTTGAAGTGCAGAGCCAGCCCAAGCAGTAAAGTCCATGAGACTCTTATCTCCAATTAATTACCAGAAAACCAGAAATGGCACTGTGGCTCAAAGTGGTAGAGTGCTAGCCTTGAGCGAAAAAGTTCAGGTCCCAAGTTCAAGAAAACCAAAAAAGAAAACAAAAACAAAAAAATACTGTCTTACATTAAATATAAATAATTTATAATTGGAAGGGCTAAACTTTCATTTACTATCTTTAATCAGGAAAGCTAAGGTGTTAATATATATTTAAAATTACTTTTCTATGCTTTCTCCTTTTGCGGACTGATTTGTTAAGTGATTAGGTAAATTTTGAGATCACTGTTATATGATATATGGCATGTATTTTTAAGTAAACATACAAGATTAAAGCTTTCTGAAAGCTGTCTTTCAGACTTACGCTTTGAGAAACCTTCTGCAGATTAAATGTATACTAACTCTTTTTAAACATTGACCAGGACTTTATATTTTATCTTCTGACATCTAAGCTTGTATACTTTCATAGCTAAGAGAAAAAAAAGTTACAAAAATGTTATCTCTTTGTAAATGCTATCTTTAAGACCAGCTTGTGGTGATTTTGCAAGTGTATTTTTTGAAAAATTTAAAATAAACTCATTTTATTACCAGCAACTTGTATTTCTTTTTTAGTATCAAATAAGTCAAATTTCATTAATTGGTATTGTTTTGGACTATGCCCTGATTATGTAATGAACATTATAAACATATACTTAAGTTTACAAATTACAGAGCAAATTCTAAAAATCATATGCATTCAATAATACTCATCTACAGGACTACAAAAGGATCAATGAGTTGTTAAGTTTCTATGTTAGAAAGAGAAGCTAGGTCAGGCACTGGTGGCTCATGCCTGTAATCCTAGCTACTCAGGAGGCTAAGATCGTGGTTGGAATACAGGCGCAGGCAGAAAAATCCCCAAGAGACTCTTAATCACTTGAAAGCCCCACAAGTAATGAGACAGAGTCAGAGACTGGGAAAGCATTGAAACCCTAGCTTTCAATTGGTTGGTTAGCTGTCTGTCTTGGGCATAAAATATAACAGAAAAATTCAGATTTATGTGTCCTGGAAATGTTCTGGGGCTCCATCTGCTTGAAAGTCAGGCGTCTGTCTGCCTTACATTTCAGTTTTAGAGAGAAATCCTATGTTTAAAAAAAGTTTCCTTATGTTAATTCATTATGATAAGTAATGTACATTACAGCATTTCCAGATAGCTTTCAAAATAAAGTTCTTATAATTTCATTTGTATTATGAGGTATAGCCTCATAATTTGTAAAGAACATTTTTAAAGAACATTTCAAAAAAGCTGTGCAAATATTAACTCTTTCATTATTTTCTCTTGAAGTGTGGCTCACTGTTCTTAAAAAAGGAATTTGTGAACAAAAATCATGAGAGGCTGATTATTTTTCTGGTTTTTATGGCGGGATTTTTTTCCCTCTACCCAGGTCCTACCACTTGAACGTAGAGCCCTAGCCCTGTCCCTGAGCTTCTTTAACTCAAGGCTAGAATTCTATCAACTTGAGCTACAGAACCACTTCCAGCTTTGTAGTAGTTTATTGGAGCTAAGAGTCTCATGGACTTTTTTGCCTTGGCTGACTTCAACCTGTGATCATTAGTTCTTAGCCTCTTAAGTAGGTTTTTAGGTATAAGCCACCAGCGCCTGCCTTGATTCATTGTTTTCTGAACACATTCTGCCCTTTTACCTATCCTAGCCTTGAAACACACTCCTTCTGGTCTGGCTTAAATGGCTTCTTTAAAGATAATTCTTTGAATTGAATTTTTTAAGCACAAGAAGGATACTTGTCAAAAAAAACAAAAAACAAAAGCTGGAAGTGGCTTTGTGTCTCAAGTGGTAGCACACTAGCCTTGAGCACAGAGTCTCAAGGACAGTGACCAGGCTCCCAGTTCAAGCCCAGGACAGGCCAAAATAGAGTCAAATAAAATAAACAGCTGTAGATTACTAAAGGATTGTGCCTGACAAAATCAAGAAAATTACCATGTTCATTCTGTTTGCTTAATATTCTCATATTAAGAAAAAGGGAAGGTAGGCACTATGCCTCACACATGTAATCCTAGCTACTCAGGTGACTGAAATCAGGAGGACTATGAATTGAGGCCAGCCTGGGAAAAAAGTTCTTGAGATGCCCTTTCTCAGCCTAATAGCAAGGGGCACACGTCTGTCATCCCAGATATATGGAAGGCTGAGTTGGGGGGGGGGTCACACTTCCAGTCCAGCCCATTCAAAAAGTCTGTAAGCTGTCATCTCAACAGAAATGCTAAAATGATGATGCTTGTCATTCCAGCTCTATGAGAAGTGCAAATAGGATGATTTTAGTCCAGATCATTCAGGCAAAGAAGCAAAACCCTATCTCAAAAATGACTAAACCAGAAAAGGCTGTTAGCATGGCTCAAGTGTTAGAGCACCTGCTTAGGAAGCATAAGGTCCTGAGTTTAATTCACGGTGCCATCAAAAAGAAAAAAAAAAAAACTTGGGGAGAAAGGGATGGTATTTTGGAATTGCCTGAAAATAAATCGAGCATCACGTTTTTACATTCAATAATACCCTCTGATGACCCATTTTCATTGCATAGCACTCTTATGTTGCTGTGCCAAGTCTGTAATAAGATAGCATAACAACGGAGGAGAAATAATGCTTGCTTTTTTAAAATAATCTGTTCCTGCCAGGCATTGGTGGTTCATGCCTGTAATCCTAGCTCCTCAGGACGCTGAGATCTGAGGAGCATGGTTTGAAGCCAGTCCAGGCAGGAAAGTCCATGAGACTC